TTTCATTTAGCTGGCATGCTAGCTAGTTAGCATTATGTGCTATGGCTAACGTTAACTACCAGCACAGGGCCTCCAACCGCTAAAAGCCTGGCTGTGTAAAATATGTATACGTTGCTGCTACTGTTTTATCTATCCTGTTGCCTAGTCACTTTACACCTACCTGTATGTACATATCTACCTCAACTGTTACTATTTATTATCTATCCTGTTGCCTAGTCACTTTACCCCTACCTATATGTACATATCTACCTCAATAACCTCGTACCCCTGCACATTGACTCGGTACTGGTACCCCGTGTATATGGCCAAGTTATCGTGGTTCATTGTGTATTTATTCCTCATTATTTATCCATATTTTTCTCTGCATTGTTGGGAAGGGCCCGTAAGCGTTTCACTGTTAGTCTACACCTGTTGTTTACGAAGCATGTGACAAATAAAAGTTGATTTGATGTTGCCGTTGTTGCAACGCCACTATTTTGACCTCGACACAGCTGTAAAAGCCTTACTTAAAGAACGAAGCTAGCTAGCTAAATAATTCGTGTTTTAGCCAAAGTGCATTAGCTAGCAGGTAGCTAGTGCTACTACTACGACTGGGTGCATCTCATTCCTATTAGTTAGTTGGCTTCCTTCACTCGTCTCCTCCTGTCATGCACTGATCAGGGGCTAAACAAGCAACCCTACATCATTCAGCGACCATGATTCCACAGTAGCTCACTACTACATGATATCACAGGCTCAGCTACTAATGATATCCACAGGCTCAGCTACCCTACAATGATTCATCAGCTACCCTCTTGATCAGCTACCCACATGATTCCACACAGCACCCTCATTTCGATACACATGGCTCGGGACTTTCCGTCTTCCTTACATGATATGCTAGGCTGCAGCTAGTTAGCATATTGCTATGGCTCACTACCGTCTAATCCACGCACAGTTGTATCCTCCAACCTACATAAACACGGGCTCGTGTAACATCATGTATACGTCTCTGCTAGCTGTTATTATCTACCTGTTGCGCTATTCACTACACCTACCTTATGTACATGATATCTACCTCACTGTACATTTATATCTATCCTGTTGCTATCACTTTACACCCTACCTAATGACATATCTACCTCAGCTGCTACATTGTATTATCATCTCGTGCCTATCACTTATCACACCCAGCTACCTATATGTACAACTACCTACTACTGTTACAGTTTAGTACTATGTATCCACAGTCAGCTAGTACACTTAACCCCTACCTATAGTACATATCCTACAGCTCACTGTTACTATTATTATCTACTCACTTGCTCTATTCACTCTACACCCTACTATATGTACAGCTCACTACCTCTAACATCGTATCCCCGCTGCACTGCTGACATGAGTATCCAGGCTCAGCAGCACGTGATATGCCACAGTCTCACTACTACTGGTTTCAGTGTGCTATTATTCCTCATTATTACTCATATTTTCTCTGGCATGTTGGAGGGACCCGTAGCGTTTCACTGTTCTCTACACCGTGTTTACGTAGCTACAATAAAGTTATTTATGTATTCCGCTTGTTGCCAAGCTCCACTATTTTGACCTCGCACTACAGTTTAAAGGCTCGTACTAAGAACGAAGCTAGCTAGCTAAATAATTTCTGGTTTTCACGCCAAGTCATTATCTACAGGTAGCTAGCTACATACTCACTGGGTGCACTCTATTCTAAGTCAGTAGCTCTGTTCCCAGCTCACTCGTCTCCGCTCAGCTCTCATGTTCCACGATCAGGGGCTACAAATCAAGCCGCTCTACATGAATCCACAGGCTCAGCTACCCTACATGATATCCACAGGCTCAGCTACCCTACATGATATCCACAGGCTCAGCTAGCTACATGATATCCACAGGCTCAGCTACCCTACATGATATCCACAGGCTCAGCTACCTACATGATATCCACAGGCTCAGCTACCCTACATGATATCCACAGGCTCAGCTACCTACATGTATCACAGGCTCAGCTACCTACATGATATCCACAGGCTCAGCTACCCTACATGATATCCACAGGCTCAGCTAGTCTACATGGTATTCACAGGCTCAGCTAGCTACATGATATCCACAGGCTCAGCTACCTACATGATATCCACAGGCTCAGCTAGCTACATGATATCCACAGGCTCAGCTAGCTACATGATTCACAGGCTCAGCTAGCTACATGATATTCACAGCTCAGCTAGCTACATGATATCACAGGCTCAGCTAGCACATATTCCACAGGCTCAGCTAGCTACATGATATTCACAGGCTCAGCTAGCTACATGATATCCACAGGCTCAGCTAGCTACATGGTATTCACAGGCTCAGCTACCTACATGATATCCACAGGCTCAGCTAGCTACATGATATTCACAGGCTCACAGCTAGGTATCATGTAAATCCACAGGCTCAGCTAGCTACATGATATCCACAGGCTCAGCTAGCTACATGATATCCACAGGCTCAGCTAGCTACATGATATCCACAGGCTCAGCTAGCTACATGAATATCCACAGGCTCAGCTAGCTACATGAAATCCACAGGCTCAGCTAGTTACATAGAATTCACAGGCTCAGCTAGCTACATGATATTCACAGGCTCAGCTAGCTACATGATATTCACAGGCTCAGCTAGCTACATGATATCCACAGGCTCAGCTAGCTACATGATATCCACAGGCTCAGCTAGCTACATGATATCCACAGGCTCAGCTAGCTACATGGTATTCACAGGCTCAGCTAGCTACATGATATCACAGGCTCAGCTAGCTACATATAATTCACAGGCTCAGCTAGCTACATGTATTCACAGGCTCAGCTAGCTACATGATATCCACAGGCTCAGCTAGCTACATGATATCCACAGGCTCAGCTAGCTACATGGTATTCACAGGCTCAGCTAGCTACATGATATCCACAGGCTCAGCTAGCTACATGATATCCACAGGCTCAGCTAGCTACATGGATATTCCACAGGCTCAGCTAGCTACATGATTCACAGGCTCAGCTAGCTACATGATATCCACAGGCTCAGCTAGTTACATGAGTATTCACAGGCTCAGCTAGTACATGATATCCATAGGCTCAGCTAGCTACATGATATCCACAGGCTCAGCTAGCTACATGATATTCACAGGCTCAGCTAGCTACATGATATCCACAGGCTCAGCTAGCTACATGGTATTCACAGGCTCAGCTACCTACATGATATCCACAGGCTCAGCTAGCTACATGATATCCACAGGCTCAGCTAGCTACATGATATCCACAGGCTCAGCTAGCTACATGGTATTCACAGGCTCAGCTAGCTACATGATATCCACAGGCTCAGCTAGCTACATGATATCCACAGGCTCAGCTAGCTACATGGTATTCACAGGCTCAGCTAGCTACATGATATCCACAGGCTCAGCTAGCTACATGTATCACAGGCTCAGCTAGCTACATGGTATTCACAGGCTCAGCTAGCTACATGATATCCACAGGCTCAGCTAACATGGATATCCACAGGCTCAGCTAGCTACATGGTATTCACAGGCTCAGCTAGCTACATGATATCCACAGGCTCAGCTAGCTACATGATATCCACAGGCTCAGCTAGCTACATGAAATCCACAGGCTCAGCTAGTTACATAGAATTCACAGGCTCAGCTAGCTACATGATATTCCACAGGCTCAGCTAGCTACATGATATTCACAGGCTCAGCTAGCTACATGTATATCCACAGGCTCAGCTAGTACATGATATCACAGGCTCAGCTAGTTACATGATATCACAGGCTCAGCTAGCTACATGATATTCACAGGCTCAGCTAGCTACATGATATCCACAGGCTCAGCTAGCTACATGATATCCACAGGCTCAGCTAGCTACATGGTATTCACAGGCTCAGCTAGCTACATGATATCCACAGGCTCAGCTAGCTACATGATATCCACAGGCTCAGCTAGCTACATGGTATTCACAGGCTCAGCTAGCTACATGATATCCACAGGCTCAGCTAGCTACATGATATTCACAGGCTCAGCTAGCTACATGATATCCACAGGCTCAGCTAGCTACATAGATATCACAGGCTCAGCTACATGGTATTCACAGGCTCAGCTAGCTACATGGTATTCACAGGCTCAGCTAGCTACATGGTATCCACAGGCTCAGCTAGCTACATGATATCCACAAGCTCAGCTAGCTACATGATATCCACAGGCTCAGCTACATGGTATTCACAGGCTCAGCTAGCTACATGAATTCACAGGCTCAGCTAGCTACATGGTATTCACAGGCTCAGCTAGCTACATGGTATTCACAGGCTCAGCTAGCTACATGATATTCACAGTTAGTTATATTTGACTCAGTTGAGAGATTCACTGATCCAGATCCTGGTCCTCTTTTTGTCCTATTTGCTTGTGTCCTATTTCCTTGTTGTACTGCCCATCTAAATGTGATAAATTATTATAAATGGCATCTTTCTTGACACGCATGCTATCAGTGTAGTTGAAGTGTGTGTGTGTTTCAGGATGAGCACAGGGGGAGACGAGGACTCAGTGACCCTGGAGTCTGTCAACTCTGTCACGCTCACCCAGGACAGTGACGGCAGTATCATACTACACTGTCCTACGCACGGTAACACACACACACATTATCTTCCACACACACACACACATTATCTTCCACACACACACACACACACATGATCTTCCACACGGTAACACACACACATTATCTTCCACACGGTAACACACACACATTATCTTCCACACGGTAACACACACATTGGCCGTGTTCGAGAGAATCAAAACCGTGATGTATCATGGGTAAATTGACTGACTGACTGATGTACAAATAATATTGAGTAGCTGTTTATGATGCAGGGCAGTTCATTATGATGCAGGGTGGTTAGTTATGATGCAGGGTGGTTAGTTATGATGCAGGGTAGTTAGTTATGATGCAGGGTGGTTAGTTATGATGCAGGGTGGTTAGTTATGATGCAGGGCGGTTAGTTATGATGCAGGGTGGTTAGTTATGATGCAGGGTGGTTAGTTATGATGCAGGGTGGTTAGTTATGATGCAGGGTGGTTAGTTATGATGCAGGGTGGTTAGTTATGATGCAGGGTAGTTAGTTATGATGCAGGGTGGTTAGTTATGATGCAGGGTGGTTAGTTATGATGCGGTTAGTTATGATGCAGGGTGGTTAGTTATGATGCAGGGTGGTTAGTTATGATGAAGGGTGGTTAGTTATGATGCAGGGTGGTTAGTTATGATGCAGGGTGGTTAGTTATGATGCAGGGTGGTTAGTTATGATGCAGGGCAGTTAGTTATGATGCAGGGCAGTTAGTTATGATGCAGGGCGGTAATTTATGATGCAGGGTGGTTAGTTATGATGCAGGGTGGTTAGTTATGATGCAGGGTGGTTAGTTATGATGCAGGGTGGTTAGTTATGATGCAGGGTAGTTAGTTATGATGCAGGGTGGTTAGTTATGATGCAGGGTGGTTAGTTATGATGCAGGGTGGTTAGTTATGATGCAGGGTGGTTAGTTATGATGAAGGGTGGTTAGTTATGATGCAGGGTGGTTAGTTATGATGCAGGGTGGTTAGTTATGATGCAGGGCAGTTAGTTATGATGCAGGGCAGTTAGTTATGATGCAGGGTGGTAATTTATGATGCAGGGTGGGTAGTTATGATGCAGGGTGGTTAGTTATGATGCAGGGTGGTTAGTTATGATGCAGGGTGGTTAGTTATGGTGCAGGGTGGTTAGTTATGATGCAGGGTGGTTAGTTATGATGCAGGGTGGTTAGTTATGATGCAGGGTGGTTAGTTATGATGCAGGGTGGTTAGTTATGATGCAGGGTGGTTAGTTATGATGCAGGGTGGTTAGTTATGATGCAGGGTGGTTAGTTATGATCAGGGTGGTTAGTTTATGATGCAGGGTGGTTAGTTATGATGCAGGGTGGTTAGTTTATGATGCAGGGTGGTTAGTTATGATGCAGGGTGGTTAGTTATTATGCAGGGTGGTTAGTTATGATGCAGGGTGGTTAGTTATGATGCAGGGTGGTTAGTTATGATGCAGGGTGGTTAGTTATGATGCAGGGTGGTTAGTTATGATGCAGGGTGGTTAGTTATGATGCAGGGTGATTATTTATGATGCAGGGTGGTTAGTTATGATGCAGGGTGGTTAGTTATGATGCAGGGCGGTTAGTTATGATGCAGGGCGGTTAGTTATGATGCAGGGTAGTTAGTTATGATGCAGGGTAGTTAGTTATGATGCAGGGTGTATTTAGTTATGATGCAGGGTGGTTAGTTATGATGCAGGGTGGTTAGTTATGATGCAGGGTGGTTAGTTATGATGCAGGGTGATTTGTAGATCAGTCAGTCTTGACTCACCTTTAAAGTCGGCTTCAATGTCGAATGCACCCATTATCTTCCACATGGGAACATACACGCGTTGATGTTGGGTATACACTGAGTATACCAAACATTAAGAACACCTTCCTAATATTGAATTGCACCCCCTTACTTTTGCCCTCAGAACAGCCTTAATTCGTCGGGGCATTGGACTCTACAAGGTGTCGAAAGCGTTCCACAGGGATGCTGGCCCATGTTGACTCCAATGCTTCCCACAGTTGTGTAAAGTTGGCTTGATGTCCTTTGGGTGGTGGACCATTCTTGATACACACGGGAAACTGTTAAGTGTGTAAAACCCAGCAGCATTGCAGTTCTTGACACAAACCGGTTCGCCTGGCACCTACAACCATACCCCGTTCAAAGGCACTTAAATATTTTGTCTTGCCCATTCACCCTCTGAATGGCACACATACACAATCCATGTCTCAAGGCTTAAACATCCTTCTTTAACCGGTCTCCTCCCCTTCATCTACACTGATTGAAGTTGATTTAACAAGTTACATCAATAAGGGGTCATAGCTTTCACCTGGATTCACCTGGTCAGTCTGTAATGGAAAGAGCAGGTGTCCTTAATGTTTTGTCCACTCAGTGTATGTCACATAACTCCTTTCAGATGACTGTGTGTGTGTGTGTGTGTGTGTGTGTGTGTGTGTGTGTGTGTGTGTGTGTGTGTGTGTGTGTGTGTGTGTGTGTGTGTGTGTGTGTGTGTGTGTGTGTGTGTGTGTGTGTGTGTGTGTGTGTGTGTGTGTGTGTGTGTGTGTGTGTGTGTGTGTGTGTGTGTGTGTGTGTGTGCGCGCGCAGATGAGGACTCGGAGCCGATCCAGAAGAGACTGTGTCTGACCAATGAGGAACAGACAGAGACAGACTCCGCCCCTCAGTTCTCCGTGGTCACCCTCCCCAGTGAGTTACACACATACACAGAAACATGCACACACTGCCCTGCCTGTTGTGGTTGGCTGACAGGGTGTGATGTCCTATAGTGTCAGAGGGAGACGAGAGCTTCGAGGTCACGATGACCGCCACCGCCGACAGTGACATCACAGAAGAGGGCGTGGCCCAGATACAGGTACCTGACAAACGCCTCCCACGACTCCTCTCTTCTCTACTCCTCTCCTCTCTACTCTTCTCCTCTCTTCTCCTCTCTTCTCTACTCCTCTCTACTCCTCTCCTCTCTCCTCTTCTCGTCTTCTCCTCTCTTCTCTACTCTTCTCCTCTCTTCTCCTCTCTTCTCTACTCCTCTCCTCTCTCCTCCTCTCCTCTCCTCTCTTCTCTACTCCTCTCTTCTCCTCTCTCCTCTTCTCCTCTCTTCTCTACTCCTCTCCTCTCTCTTCTCCTCTCTTCTCTTCTCCTCTCTCCTCTTCTCCTCTCTTCTCTACTCCTCTCTTCTCCTCTCTTCTCTTCCCTCTCTTCTCTTCTCCTCTCTTCTCTCTCCTCTTCTCTACTCCTCTCTTCTCCCTCTCTTCTCTTCTCTTCTCTTCTCAGGAAAAGAAATCCTCGTCTTCTCTTCTCTCTCCTCTCTCCTCTTCTCCTCTCGTTTCTTCTCTACTCTCTCTCCTCTCTTCTCCTCTCTTCCTCTCCTCTCTTCTCTTCTCCTCTCTCCTCTTCGCCTTCTCCTCTTCTCCTCTCTTCCTCTCCCTACTCATTCTCTACTCCTGTCTCTTCTCTTCTCCTCTTCTTCTCTCTCCTTCTCCTCTCTCCTCTCCTCTCTTCTCTACTCCTCTCTTCTCCTCTCTTCTCTTCTCTTCTCCTCTCTTCTCTTCTCCTCTCTCCTCTTCTCCTCTTCTCCTCTCTTCTCTTCTCCTCTATTCTCTTCTCCTCTCTTCTCTTCTCCTCTCTACTCCTCTCCTCTGCTCTCCTGTCCTCTTTATTTTTCTTTACTCTCTCTCTCTCTGTGTGTGTGTTGTGTGTAGATCCTGCAGAGTGAGGATCCTCAGAACAGTGAAGAGATGTCTCCTGTCAGCCAGGCCTGGTTCACCACCAAGGAGGACAAAGATACACTGGTTAACAAAGGTACTTACACACACACACACTTACACTGGTTAACAAAGGTACTTACACACACACACACTTACACTGGTTAACAAAGGTACTTACACACACACACACTTACACTGGTTAACAAAGGTACTCACACACACACACACTTACACTGGTTAACAAAGGTACTTACACACACACACACTTACACACTTACACACACTTACACACACACACACATACACTTACACTGGTTAACAAAGGTACTTACACACACACACACTTACACACTTACACACACTTACACACACACACACATACACACACACACACACACACACACTTACACACACGCACACGCACATACACATACACACTTACACACACACACACATACACACACACGCGCATACACACACACACATACACACACACACAAGCACACACACACGCACACACACTTACACACACACGCACACACACACGCACATACACACACACACACACACACACACACACTTACACACACACACATACACACATACACACACAATGCACATTGAGCTAGCTACATATATTTGTAGTTGGTTTACGCAGGCCGTGATTGGTCAGTGGGCTAACAGAGGCTGTGATTGGTTGTTTGTCTTCAGGTCATAAGTGGAAACAAGGCATGTGGTCTAAAGAGGAGATCGACCTTCTGATGAGCAACATCCAACAATATGTGAAGGTGCAACACACACACTCACACACACACACACACACACACACACACACACAGACACACACACACACACACACACACACACACACACACACACACACACGGTTAAGAGTTACCATCAGGTGACTTCTGTTAGGGAGTCTGTACTGCTTTGGACAAGTGTGTTTGTGTGTGCACGTTCGTGTGTGTGTATCAAATCAAATGTTATTGGTTACATGAACATGTTTAGCAGATGTTATTGCAGGTGTAGTGAAATGCTTGTCTTTCTAGCTCCAACAGTGCAGTAATATCTAACAATTCACAACAATACACACAAATCTAAAAGTAAAATAATGGAATTAATATTAGGACGAGTATTAACTAAAATACAGTAGAATAGAATACAGTAGAATAGAATACAGTATAATAGAATACAGTAGAATAGAATACAGTATAATAGAATACAGTATAATCATATGAGATGAGTAAAGCAGTATGTAAACATTATTAAAGTGACTAGTGTTCCATTTTTAAAGTGACTAGTGTTCCATTATTAAAGTGACCAGTGATTCCATGTCTATGTACAGTACCAGTCTAAAGTTTGGACACACCTACTCATTACAGGGTTTTTCTTTATTTTTACTATTTTCTACATTGTAGAATAATAGTGAAGACATCAAAACTATGAAATAACACATATGGAATCATGTAGTAACCAAAAAAGTGTTAAAACAAATAAATGTTATATTTGAGATTCTTCAAAGTAGCCACCCTTTGCCTTGATGACAGCTTTGGACACTCTTGGCATTCTCTCAACCAGCTTCATGAGGTAGTCACCTGGAATGTGTTTCAATTAACAGGTGCGCCTTGTTAAAAGTTAATTTATGGAATTTCAACTGAGCCAATCAGTTGTGTTGTGACAAGGTAGGGGGGGGTATACAGAAGATAGCCCTATTTGGTAAAATACCAAGTCCATATTATGGCAAGAACAGCTCAAATAAGCAAAGAGAAATGACAGTCCGTCATTACTTTAAGACATGAAGGTCAGTCAATCCGTAAAATGTCAAGGACTTTGAAAGTTTCTTCAAGTGCAGTCGCAAAAACCATCAAGCGCTATGATGAAACTGGCTCTTATGAGGTCCGCCACAGGAAAGGAAGACCCAGAGTTACCTCTGCTGCAGAGGATAAGTTCATTAGAGTTACCAGCCTCAGAAATTGCAGCCCAAATAAATGCTTCACAGAGTTCAAGTAACAGACACATCTCAACATTAACTGTTCAGAGGGGACTGCGTGAATCAGGCCTTCATGTTCGAATTGCTGCAAAGAAACCACTACTAAAGGACACCAATAAGAAGAGACCTGCTTGGGCCAAGAAACACGAGCAATGGACATTAGACCGGTGGAAATCTGTCCTTTGGTCTGGAGTCCAAATGTGAGATTTTGGGTTCCAACCGCCGTGTCTTTCTGAGACGCGGTGTGGGTGAACGGATGATCTCCGCATATGTAGTTCCCACCGTAAAGCATGGAGGAGGTGGTGTTATGGTGTGGGGGTGCTTTGCTGGTGACACTGTCTGTGATTTATTTAGAATTCAAGGCACACTTAAACAGCATGGCTACCACAGCATTCTGCAGCGATACGCCATCCCATCTGGTTTGGGCTTAGTGGGACTATCATTTGTTTTTCAACAGGACAATGACCCAACACACCTCCAGGCTGTGTAAGGGCTATTTTACCAAGAAGGAGAGTGATGGAGTGCTGCATCAGATGACCTGGCCTCCACAATCCCCGACCTCAACCCAATTGAGATGGTTTGGGATGAGTTGGACCGCAGAGTGAAGGAAAAGCAGCCAACAAGTGCTCAGCATATGTGGGAACTCCTTCAAGACTGTTGGAAAAGCATTCCAGGTGAAGCTGGTTGAGAGAATGCCAAAAGTGTGCAAAGGGTGGCTACTTTGAAGAATCTAAAATCTGAAATATATTTTGATTTGTTTAACACATTTTTGGTTACTACATGATTCCATATGTGTTATTTCATAGTTTTGATATCTTCACTATTATTCTACAATGTAGAAAATAGTAAAAAATAAAGAAAAACCCTTGAATGAGTAGGTGTATCCAAACTTTTGACTGGTATTGTGTATGGGGCATCAGTCTCTAAGGTGCAGGGTTGAGGAACCGGGTGGTAGCCGGCTAGTGATGACTATTTAACATTTTTACATTTACATTTTAGTCATTTAGCAGACGCTCTTAACCAGAGCGACTTACAGGAGCAATTAGGGTTAAGTGCCTTGCTCAAGGGCACATTAACGTCATTTAGCAGACGCTCTTAGCCAGAGCGACTCACAAATTGGTGCGTTCACCCTATAGCCAGTGGGATAACCACTTTACAATTTGGGGGGGGGGGGGGGGGGGGGGGGGGGGGTTAGAAGGAATACTTTAGCCTATCCCAGGTATTCCTTAAAGAGGTGGGGTTTCAAATGTCTCCGGAAGGTGGTGAGTGACTCCGCTGTCCTGGCGTCGTGAGGGAGCTTGTTCCACCATTGGGGTGCCAGAGCAGCGAACAGTTTTGACTGGGCTGAGCGGGAGCTGTGCTTCCGCAGAGGAAGGGGAGTCTGATAGCCTTGAGATAGAAGCTGTTTTTCAGTCTCTCGGTCCCAGCTTTGATGCACCTGTACTGACCTCGCCTTCTGGATGATAGCGGGGTGAACAGGCAGTGGCTCGGGTGGTTGTTGTCCTTGATTATCTTTTTGGCCTTCCTGTGACATCGGGTGCTGTAGGTGTCCTGGAGGGCTGGTAGTTTGCCCCCGGTGATGCTTTGTTCAGACCGTGTGTGTGTGTGTGTGTGTGTGTGTGTGTGTGTGTGTGTGTGTAGGGTCGGGGTATGGAGGACCCAGCTGAGATAATCTTTGAGATGTCTAAAGAGGAGCGTAAGGATTTCTACCGCAGCGTGGCCTGGGGTCTGAACCGACCGCTGTTCGCCGTCTACCGACGAGTCCTCCGCATGTACGATAACCGCAACCATGTGGGCAAGTCAGTACTCACCCCCCTCCCCACACACACACATCATAGCACCCCCCCCCTCCCCACAGACATCATCATAACACACCCCACCTCCCACACAGAGTTGTAGTGGTTTGGTGTGTGTGTGTGTAAGCTGATGTGTGTTTTTGTTATAAAGGTACTCTCCTGAGGAGATCCACAAGCTGAAAGAGTGAGTATGACATCACTTCCTCCTAACAATGTGTAAACAGTCAATGTGTGCAGCAGTCTGAGGATGTGTGTGTGCAGGTTGAGGCAGAAGCACGGTAATGACTGGGCCACTATAGGAGCGGCTCTGGGCCGCAGCGCCTCGTCTGTTAAAGACCGCTGCCGACTGATGAAGGACACCTGCAACACAGGTCAGACGCTTTATCCTGGAGGGGTTATGCTTTAGGAAGCGGGACTGCAACACAGGTCAGACACTTTATCCTGGAGGGGTTATGCTTTAGGAAGCGGGACTGCAACACAGGTCAGACACTTTATCCTGGAGGGGTTATGCTTTAGGAAGCAGGACTGCAACACAGGCCAGACATTATCCTGGAGGGGTTATGCTTTAGGAAGCGGGACTGCAACACAGGTCAGACACTTTATCCTGGAGGGGTTATGCTTTAGGAAGCGGGACTGCAACACAGGTCAGACACTATCCTGGAGGGGTTATGCTTTAGGAAGCGGGACTGCAACACAGGTCAGACACTTTATCCTGGAGGGGTTATGCTTTAGGAAGCGGGACTGCAACACAGGTCAGACACTATCCTGGAGGGGTTATGCTTTAGGAAGCGGGACTGCAACACAGGTCAGACACTATCCTGGAGGGGTTATGCTTTAGGAAGCGGGACTGCAACACAGGTCAGACGCTTTATCCTGGAGGGGTTATGCTTTAGGAAGCGGGACTTACAGTTGTGTGTGTGTGTGTGTGTGTGTGTGTGTGTGTGTGTGTGTGTGTGTGTAGGGAAGTGGAGTGAGGAGGAGGAGAGGCGTCTATCGGACAGTGTGTATGCGTTGGCGGGTGTGTGTCCGGGTCGTGCGGTGACGGGGGGGGTGTCATGGGCGGCTGTAGCTGATCTGGTGGGAACGCGGTCTGAGAAACAGTGCCGCTCTAAATGGCTCAACTACCTCAACTGGAAACAGAGTGGAGGGACTGAGTGGACCAAAGACCAGGATCTCAGCTTAGTACACAGGTAGGGAGGGGTCTGGGTGGGGGGTGGGTCGTGGGTGGATGGATGAGTGGGTGTCTGGGTGGATGGATGGATGGGTGGTGGGTGTCTGGGTGGTGGGTGTCTGGGTGGATGGATGGGTGGTGGGTGGATGGATGGATGGGTGGATGGATGGGTGGTGGGTGTCTGGGTGGATGGATGGATGGGTGGTGGGTGTCTGGGTGGATGGATGAATGGGTGGTGGGTGTCTGGGTGGATGGATGGATGGATGGGTGGTGGGTATCTGGGTGGGTGGATGGATGGATGGATGGGTGGTGGGTGGGTGGTGGGTGTCTGGGTGGATGGATGGGTGGTGGGTGGATGAATGGATGGATGGGTGGTGGGTGGTGGGTGGATGGGTGGTGGGTGTCTGGGTGGATGGATGGGTGGTGGGTGGATGGATGGATGGATGGATGGGTGGTGGGTGGATGGATGGATGGGTGGTGGGTGGATGGATGGATGGGTGTCTGGATGGGTGGTGGATGGGTGGTGGGTGGATGGATGGATGGGTGGTGGGTGTCTGGGTGGATGGATGGATGGGTGGTGGGTGTCTGGGTGGATGGATGGATGGGTGGTGGGTGGATGGATGGATGGGTGGTGGGTGGATGGATGGATGGGTGTCTGGATGGATGGATGGGTGGTGGGTGGATGGATGGATGGGTGGTGGGTGTCTGGTTGGTGGGTAATTACATTATTAGAATGTAGAATTCAAAGCAGCTTTATTGATGAAAGGATCCATGTCCAGCTAGTCTACTTCTTTTGGCTTACTGTGTGTGTGTGTGTGTGTGTGTGTGTGTGTGTGTGTGTCTGTGTCTGTGTCTGTGTCTGTGTCTGTGTTGTGTGTGTGTGTGTGTACAGGATAGTGGAGTTGGATGTGGATGATGAGAATGAGTTAAAGTGGGAGGAGCTAGCAGGGGGGTGGAGCAGCGTTCGCTCTCCTCAGTGGCTCAGATCTAAGTGGTGGAGCATCAAGAGACAAGTAGCCAATCACAAGGAGCTGCCCTTCCACGGTAACACCCCTGACCCTTACCTCTCACTCCTCACTCCTGACCTCTGACCCTTACCTCTCACTCCTAACCCCTGACCCTTACCTCTCACTCCTCACCTCTGACCCCTGACCCTTACCTCTCACTCCTCACCTCTGACCCCTGACCCTTACCTCTCTCTCCTCACCCCTGACCCTTACCTCTCACTCCTCACCTCTGACCTCTGACCCTTACCTCTCACTCCTCACCTCTGACCCTTACCTCTCACTCCTCACCTCTGACCCTTACCTCTCTCTCCTCACCCCTGACCCTTACCTCTCACTCCTCACCTCTGACCCCTGACCCTTACCTCTCCTCACCTCTGACCCTTACCTCTCACTCCTCACCTCTGACCTCTGACCCTTACCTCTCACTCCTCACCTCTGACCTCTGACCCTTACCTCTCACTCCTCACCTCTGACCTCTGACCCTTACCTCTCACTCCTCACCTCTGACCCTTACCTCTCACTCCTCACCTCTGACCCTTACCTCTCACTCCTCACCTCTGACCCTTACCTCTCACTCCTCACCTCTGACCCCTGACCCTTACCTCTCACTCCTCACCTCTGACCCTTACCTCTCACTCCTCACCTCTGACCCTTACCTCTCACTCCTCACCTCTGACCCTTACCTCTCACTCCTCAC